TAGTATAGTTTCGCTATTGTAACAATTTTTACTTTTTTTACTTTGAGACCAGGTATTAACTACTTGTAACTTGGTATTAACTAGGTTAGAAAGGACCTGGAATCTTGGTATATAGCTGGAAGTAGCCTTCATGAATCAAATTCTGAGAATCTGTACCTGCAGATTAAGGTTTTTGTGAGAGAATAAACTTCTGTAACATATCAAACTTAGGCACCCTTGAGGTAGCTAAGTTAGTTCAAAATAGTTAGAGGAGAACTAAATTAGTATACTTGTATATTAGATTAGTTTTTAGCTTATATATAAGCATTCCTTAATAAAATAACAGGCAAGATCGCTTAAGGTAAAAAAAAAAAATAAAAATAAAAATATATGACCAAAAAGGTCACTGGTAAAAAAAAAAAAAAAAAAGTTCAATTCTATTAATAATAAATATCACATTAACTGCTTTACACGTATTTGTCTATTCTTTAAATATACGTGATAAAATATTATATATATTTTTATTAGTTGATAAGTTTTTTTTATATAAGTTTTGTTTTCTAGTAATATTAGAACAATGAATTTTTCAAAAATTATGTAATTTATTAGTTAATTATCATGGATAATTACGAGTAGATCATAAAATATTGTCTAATTAAAACACATTTCCACTATACTTCACTCTTAAACAATGTTATTCTTTGCTATAATTGGCTAATTTTGGGGTCAAACCAAATCGAACTACATGCTTTATAGCAAAGATATTAAGTAGTATTATCTACTTATAATAAATAAAAAAAGTTTTATTTTTTTTTTTAAACTAAGCAATTATTGTTAAGCATTTGGATTTGAAACTATATATCTTTAAGAATAAATGAATATATCGCACCATGCTACACACTTATATCTCGCACACCTAGTAGATCATAATTCAAGTGTAATGTAAAATCAAAACAAAACGTTTTGCTTCGATTTAGTTAGAGTTAAGGCAGGTTCAATTTAAAGTTAGAGCGAGCATAGATTATGTCAAAATTTTGCAAGGAATTTTTCTAGTTAGAACACAAAAGGCTGTTTTCTATGTAAAATTTTGAGTTATTGGAGATTTTTTTTTAAAAAAAGTTTTTTTTTCGCCATTTTTTACGTTATACTGATCTTGAAATTTGCGACAAATAAGTGATCACGATAAATAAGAGAACTGCACCATGCTAAATCTAGATTAATCCTACATTTAATGTTTTTATGTTTGTGAGAAACAGTTAAAGACGTTCTAAATTAGGTTAAATTTAGTTCATGTGTAACCTAAATTGTGTAAAACTATAATTAAACCCGAAAAATCCCGATGAGCTTGTCTATCTTTCCGAGGTTTACCGATATATAAATTTTAGATCCAGAAATTATTTTTTATCTTTCTCTCGTCAAGATTTTCTAATTTTAATAAATAAATTATTTATTAAAGAAATAAAATTTAAAATTAAAATTTTATATTCTTTTTGAAATTTGCCTGTACTAATTTACTTTTTATATTAGGTTACATTTTGATCCACATAATCAGCCTGACATCCATAAATTAATGAATAGAACTTTCTACAAAACAAAGCACTGTAAATAAATACACAAGACGTTCACTCAACTTTTGATAAATTTCTCATATGACAAATAGTGAGACACATCATGAGTGCGTTTAATTACTAATAACAGATATCAAAAAGAAATAAATTACGTATTTATGCGTGATGATTAACACTAAATTTAAACCCCAAGCCTAGCATCGTTTTTTCGTTATATTTGAATTGCCATGATTAATGCTAGGATTAGATTATTAAGCAGTCTATCGCTATAATAAAATTTTGTAAGAAAATTTCATAGGGCCGTTTCACAAAATTTGAACACGGATCTTCGATCTAATTGGCCAAAAATGAGAGTTAGACACGTATCTGATGTTACACTCAATCAACCGGTAAAGAAACTAGGTTGTAACGGTTCCACCATAATATCACGAAAATCAGATTCCCTTGTCGCTTTATTAAGTGCAATATTCAAAGTCCGCAATGATTAGTAAGCATAATTACTAATCTATCAGCGGACTTTGAATTTTGCATCTCATAAAATGACAATGGAATATTGTAGTAAAACCGGTTGTAACTCTAGATAGATTGTTTGTGCACAAGTACGATCTATACAGAAAATTATGAGGCATTTTTGCGAATGTGTACGGTAGTAAATAAAAATAAAAAAAGATGAGGGATTTTTGCTATCAATTTAAATATGTAATTATGTACAGTAGTACATAAAAGAAAAAGATGAGAGAATTTTGCTATCAATCTAATACGTAATTATACACAATAGTGCATAAAGAAAAAGATGAGGGATTTTTGCTATCAATAGTAGTACATTAAAAGAAAAAGATGAGGGGTTTTTGCTATCAATTTAATACGCAATTATACACAATAGTGCATAAAGAAAAAGATGAGGGATTTTTGCTATCATAATAAAAATTGTTGAATTTTTTAATATAAATACACACCATCAAGAACCTCGTCAAAAATTCAAACAAATACGATAACATCCAAAAAATAATATCCAAAAGCAAAAATTCTTAATTTCTGAACTCAATCTTGACTAAATATCAAAATGCATTATCAAGTTGAAACTGACCCCGATTGCGGTTCCGGGTAATTATTGCAAGAAAGAATTTTAATGACAGTTTTATTTTCATACTAATAAAACTTTTAATTTAATTTTCCATGCATAGTTCTTGCAACTGCGGAGAGAATTGCGCCTGTACTAAAGGATCTTGCAACTGCTAATTCTCACATATTCTTGTCAATTATATTATAAGACGTTATTTTCTGTTCTTTATGATAACGGTCTATTTTTTTTTTATTATGTTAAATTCAATATCTTGATATATTATCTTTTTCTTCTATTACAATGAAATTTAACATCAAGTTTCAGATATATATTATCTCTTTTGTTCATGGTTAAATTATTTATTTAGGATCATAAGCTAAAAAAATTATTGTAGTTCCAAAATCATTTTTTAGCTCAATAAATAAATATTGTTATATTTTATTGTTTAATTTAAAAATTAACATTAATCATTGATGAATTATTATTTATCTATATATCAATAATAAAACCCACTTGAAAATTTGAAATTAGTGATACAAAAGTCATAAATTAAGCGTTGAGTATATCTAGGGTTGTGGGCACGGTGTCCCGGGGCATGCCTAGAGGGACATTCCTTGGGAATGCCGTTTTTAAAAAAATTTGCATACGTAAAAAAGTGTCGTACAAAAAAGTTTGAGAGCATGCCTTTAAAATCAGAAAAACCAGAGGCATGCCCAAAAATTTTCCCATGCCCACAACCCTAGTTATCTCTTAACCATTCTGCTAATAGTGAAACTAAAATTCTGTGATAAAACTGCTCAGGTGAAACTTAAATATTCACTTATAAGTTCTTATTTGGCACGCATTCATGTTGATGTAGTACGTAAGTACTGTACCTGAATTCATTATTATAAGTAATACCAGGAACGGAGTGATGCAAATCACGAAGTGTATGGTTATATGGTAATTTAAATGATGTTACTCTGCAAAATCGTAGATCTGATTGGTCCGCATGATCATATTTGTCACACATCAATTATTTTTCACACGTCCTTTCATCACGCCTTAAATCTATATGTTGTGAGTCCTGAACCCTGTATTCGAACTAGGCTGGAAACCTAACGTGACCACGAGTCACATGGGTAACTTGCGTAAATTGCATATATTGCATAAATGGCATATATTGCATATAAGCCATATTTTGCATATATCACATAAATCACATAAATCACATAAATCACATTTAGGCAATAGTTAATTTCTTGAATAATAATCTGGTGAGTAGGTGTATGGTTTTTGTAAGTTGTGAAGTAACAGCCGAGGAATCTGAAAGTATCTTTAGGTTTGATCAGATCTAAGGTGATGTTGTTAAAGTAGGTAAGGAGGTTGTTAGGGGTGTAGTTATTAGTATATAGAAATGATTTTGTTGGATTAACTGTAATCTTTGTGAGTTTATAAAAAGATGAAGCTATGTTAATAATTTGTTGTAGTTGTGTTTGTGTATATGCGATCTAGAGTGTATCGTCCATGTAGGCTAATACAGGAGTATTAAAAAATGTGATTTTGTTAGAGTCAGAAATTGGATTAGGGCTTGTAGATAGTGTATATCCAGTATATGCTTTGGTAATGGTAGAGAGTAGAGGGTCATAGTATATATGCCAGAGGATAGTAGTAATTGTTTCGCCTTGATCTATGCTATCATGTATAGTGTATGAGTTAGTATAGCTCAGGTTAGTGATGATCTGGTTTTGTCGTTATGAGTGGATATCAAGAATTATTTGTTGTATTGTTTTTGGGATTTTGATTCTGTTAAGAGCTTTTTATAAGAAAGTTTTTAGGATATATACTTTTTTTTCAATAAGATACATTATAGATAGAGTAAAAACTCATTTGTAAGATTAGTATTTCTGAATTATTAAACTCACTATTGATTATTTATACAAATTATTTACACCAGAATAATAAATAGTCACATAGTAAGAATTACAAGATTATAGATTAGTTCATAATAATAAATAATTGTAAGCATAGTTTTTAGTTTGTATAATTTGTAATTCAGATAGAGTGCTTAAAATTGGGATAACATGTTTTTTTTATGATCAGTTTTGAATTCTCAGTTACACATATTATTATCCTAAAATAGCAAATAAGTAGCCAACAGACTAGCAGGTTAGCATATTGAAGGTTTGATTTAAAGAAGCATTATATATAACGGATATACTATGAATGTATGTAATTTTTGTATAATAAATACAATAGATAATACCAATATACTAACTAAAATACTTTGATATTTTTGTATAAAATATATTTTTTTTCAAAAAATAATGCTTGAAAAAATCAATACAGTATTAATATATATATTTTTTAAGGTTAAATAAAAATATATAGAATATGTTTGCTTTTAATCCAAAGAGCTTTAGCTGTGAGAGGCTAAGTTCTGGCTATTTTATTTAAGATTCCTCTAATTGGCTAATAGCTAATATATTTAATACTACAGTTTAAAATTCTGATATTTTAATATCTGGCAAATTCTAAACAGCATATCTAATAACAATTTATGACTCAGTTAGATTATTAATGCATATGATTTTAGCAGAAGTAAATATGTATGATTATTGGATAAATTTTTGCAGACAAATTTGCTTGCAAAAGTCTACAGTAAAAAGGATAATATAACAAAAAATCAAAGATTATATAAATACAGGTTATACAAATTTTAATCAAGTATATTTTGAGAATAAATTAATCCTAAAGTTGCATATTTAGTTAAAATTGTTGTAATTTTTTTTTTTACTTTATATAACATTCTATTAGTAAGATTTTTATTAGTATAAATAGTTTTGAGCAATAATTATATATATAAGAGTACAATTAGCTACATATATATTTTAAATTGTCTAATTTAAGTATCTACTCAAGGTTCTATACTAGCTGCTATATCTGAAATTTATTTAAAAATTCTCTATTTAAACTCTTTAGCTATATGCTATTTCTATCTCACTATTATTCATTACTTAAATTTATCTAACTTTGTACTACTTCTCTTTTTAGAAGATATTAACAGAGCTAACATAAGTTTACAAACTTTATGATTCAAAGTCTAGGCCTATCTCAAGTACCCTTTCACTAACTTTCTAATTAATAGATAATAATTTCAACTATACTATACTATATTCCAATATAGCTTGTATATATCTTTTGTTTAATATTCATACAAATTTAGTTTCTACTGTAGCTTTTTACTGAGTTAGTTATCTATACTTCTAGATATCATATAAGATAGATGCTCCCAAATCTAATTAACCTAAGTTGTTATTGCTAATAGTTATCTATGCTTCCAAATATCACATGAAACAGATTTTTCAAAATCTAGTTAACTGTTAAGTCTAGTTAGTATTACTATATGACCTTATATTATAAACTTATATATATCTATTTAGCTAATTTTTTTATATACAGATTTTCTAACAGACTTACTTATAACCTATTCACTGATCTTTTTATATGCAGATTTTCTTTCTCAGATTAAATGTTAACTGGTATAACTATCAAAATCTATATTACTTTATCTAACTTAAGATTTCTACTATACAAGTCCCTTGCTCATAGATCCTATTAAGATTTATTTATGTAATATTATGTCTTTTCAAATATCTGTTAACTTCTAATATCTAAATAATATTAGTGCAATATAATTTACAGAGTTACAACTTTAAAAACAAACAGAGTTTATTATAAATTGAATAGGATTCTGAGCAATCTATATACAGCTAAGATTTTTAAAAAATCTTAACAAATTACTAAAAAAGTAAAGATCTGCATAAAAATAGTCAAAAATAAGTATATATATTACTAAAAATAGTAAAGATCTACAAAAAAATAGTTAAAAATAAGCAAAATTAAATTGTTATATATCTATATATAGCTTGGAGTCCTAGTTGAATACAGAAGGTCTAGATAATTATTAAATTCTGTTAACAGTGAGATTTGAATCTCAAACTTCTTTTATAGTAGTCTGGCAATCTAACTATTATACTAAGATTGCCAGACCTTTTGTTGTAATTATTACTTATAATTAATTATAATAAATTTAATAAAAATATATAACCAAAAACTCTTTTTACTAATCCTCAAAACAATATACAGAGTAAACAACTTTTTTCAGAAAATAATAGAAGCCTTAAATATTTTCTAATTAAACAGTCTTATAGAAGAACAATGTGTGGGATAGGCCTAGAACAATATTCAATATGGCTATACTGGAGCAACTATGCTAGCTAACTATAGTGAGTCAAACTTTAAAACTACACAAATATTTAAGAATATATTTTCATATAAAAAAAGTAAAAGAAGCTCAAAGAAACAACCAAATACTAAGTTTAAACTAGATTAAACTTGCAGCCACTCTTTAATAACTCTATATGACTACTGTTTATACTTTCT